GTGTGTGACGAGAACAGAGCACGTAGATGCAGCACAGATCTACTATCAGTATAAAATAACCCACCAGCAAGTCACCGTCCCTGAGCCCACCACGCTGTAGGACACACGATGGGCATCGTCGGAATCGACGGTCGAACTGTCTGTACTACATCGCTTATCATACCAGCTTTCTTATACTCTTCTGTGAACTCTGCGCGTTGAGTCTCTGCTTCGGTGTGAATAATTTGGAACTTTTCATCGTTCCATGCGAACTTTTTGTACAAATGAAGCCAGCAGCGCTTTGCATCCAGTTCATAAACATCTTAGGACTCCATATCAAGGACGAGGCCCGGCGCCCGCCTCAGTGAGCGGTGTTCAAGGCGTGGACGGACAAACGTAGTACAGCGAGGCAGTGAAATAGGCATCAAATTTAAAATGACTTTTGAATGAGAACAGCAGCCTTTAGGCGTATGTCTGATAATGTCACTATAAAGGATGGATTGACTGGTCGGTCATCAACTTACTCGACTCAAGAAATGACTTCGTCCCATGATACTGTGCGCAGACGCATTTTGACATCTAGTTGACCTGATTAATAGGGATCGAATATTTCGAATACTCGCGATGAGATCTCGTTTAGCAGTCCTTGTAGAAAATAGAAATAAATTCCTTTAATATTAGGATGGCCGTGCGTCCTAACTAAAACTGAATTGTCATCTCCACATATAAAGCCACTGTTGGAAACTACTTCTGGTAGATCCCCTATGTATCCAAGTAAGAGCGACAGCCCTAGTAAAGGCTCTTACTGAACACAGTTGTGCATCGACAACTTAGACGATTTAGCTTCTTGAACGTGTATACCATGGGTTCCGTATTGCAGAAAGAGGTCAAATTCAGTTAATCGTCTTTTCAACTAAATAAACAATCTGCAGTTAACTGTGCTGAGTGCATTATTGAAGTTTAGAAATACGGTTTCAACATTTACCATAGGTTAGCGTACAAGATTTCTGTTGTAACAAGGTTAGTGTGGCATGATCGCCCCCTACGCATCTAGTGTCTGCAGAGCTTATGGGTTTCTGCATGTCCAGTAAACGGGTCCAAGTGCACCCGTATGACCTCTTCTATGAGTTTTCTCCGTCCAGTGGACAGACTGGCTGTGCATCTTTTCGCAGTTACCCACAAAGATCCATTTTAAGTAAAGGGCGAACATAGCTTACCTCCGGCGATTGGATATGATATTTATTCGAAGACTGGTGTTAAACCTACTACCTAAAGGATTTTAATATTGCGACGATCAGCTTCAGGAAGAATGGATACGAGGGACCCAGTTCCAGGACTTTACTTTCGCCTAAGCACAAAGGACGATTGCCGAAGTTTTTCGATCTATAAGCCCGTTTTGAATTTATAAAATTATACTGAATATTTGTGCGTTTAGCCATCAACGTTAAAAACCTGAACTGGAGAAACGATTTCTTCCTCATTCGGTATGTGAATTCCGTACGTGTTTCTTGGCAGGTCTCTGAGTGAGTTCAGTAGTCTGTTCTAGTGCTATATACGGCTCTGTTGTATCCGAATGGTAGTTCCATTTCTCGCCTTTGTGTATATGCTAGAATTGTGGTACTTTTTTGTCTTCTGTGTTAATGTCAGAACTAGATTATTTTTCCAGTGCACAACCGCATCTTCCGCGTAACGTAGTGGAAAACGGATTCGGGTTTTTTTGATCATTTTTGATGCTATGCGGGAAGCCACGGAAACTATGTTAGCTTGAAGGGAATCCACACTTTTTCTACATTGGGCCTCTTTTCCCAGTCCAATTCTGGAAACCGCAGTCGGAGCTCAATACAATTAAAAGTTCAGTGCTTGCGCACTGGCACACCCTCATGCATTTATGACAATAGTCAACCCTGTTTGGGATACCCCAGTAATGAAGAATGTACCGATACAATCGTCTTTACCATATGAACTCGGTGCGCCAGATACGACCATCTTCCTATCGACTGTAAAGAACACTGGATGGAAAAAGAATGCATTATGGAGATAAGAGTTTTATGCCTTTAGGTGAACATTTGCAGATTTCTATAAAAGCATGAGTTTTTAGCTTTAACTGTCGAAGCCCTTAGAACGATAATTTTCTTTATCACTATTGTTTCTTATGACCTTGAGCTAACGATCAACGTTAGTTTCAATTTCAGTCTAGGTCACCTCTCAGCTGATTGTTCAGCCTGCACTTCCTGCAGCAATGTCTTCTCCGAGCCCAGGGAAAAAGCGTATGGATACAGATGTAGTTAAATTGTACGAAGAGTTCTATTCTGTGGCTTTATGATACACCTTTGTCGCAAGAACTTACGTTGTGGGTTTTTCTCTAATCTAGGATCGAAAGTAAGTACGAAGTCACCGTACTCGGCGGCCTCAACGAATTAATGGTGAAGTTTAATGGCCCACCAGAAAGTAACATAGATTTGCTGACCAATGTCTTCTAGCGCCCTACGAGGGTGGAATCTGGAAGGTGCGGGTCGAGTTGCCGGAGCGATACCCGTTTAAATCGCCATCTATAGGGTTCATGAATAAAATTTTCCATCCAAATATTGACGAAGCGTAGGTTATCACGGACTAGCTCTTGTTTCACCTTCGGCCATGTAATCAACAAATATCCTCTTGTAGATCCGGGACCGTGTGTCTAGACGTCATTAATCAACAGTGGTCGGCCCTTTATGGTAGTTTCTTCACTCATCACAACTTTTTCTAGATCTTACCAATATCTTTGAGTCATTCTTGCCTCAACTTCTTGCGTATCCAAATCCGACTGACCCCTTGAATAGTGATGCTGCGTCGCTTTTCATGTTCAAGCCATCGGACTATGTTTCCAAAGTAAAGGGTAAGTTAGCAACCTAGTGTTGTTTTGCGACTATTTTCCGACCGAATTTCGTGATTGCTACTCACCGACTCCAGCGCTTATTGTTCGCTGTCTTCTCTTCTCCAGGTATGAGTTGATTAGTCATGTCATACATGTAGTAGTTCACATTATTATCTGATCAACGCAAGGCCCTAGTATCATCAGAAGTGCTGGTGCCCGTAATTTCACGTCAGCATTTTTCACACCGTACTTAGACGCAGCTCTCGTCTGACCGCCTGGATAAGTTATTCGTGTTTTCCCTTCGTCCATGATTAGTTCGCGTGCCTTTGTTCTTCATAAGCAGTCACGCATTCATTTCGAAAACCGCATGGGTCTTTGTCCCACCCAAAACCCTATAGCATCCAGCGTTGTGGGTGCACCTTAATCACACAAACTAATGCCAGGTCGAAGTCATCAGGTGGTGAACCTCAGAAGGAGAAGCTTATTCCTCACAGGAACCCGAAATACTGCCTCAGGCCAGCGTAACCCACGGGGGGATGAAATCAAAGGCTTTATCCTGTTGCGTGTTCACTGCATCACCTAAGAGCAGGACGGTTGTGTTTACCCTTTAGCCTGCTCGCGTTTGCGCCGATCTCATGTGAGGCGACCAGTCGAGCCGCCAGGTCAGCGTCTCTAGAATGTTCTCGATGTAGTATGGGTGAAATTTACGTGATGCAACCAATGTCTATGCCAACAGTCAGCATCAGGTCCTTTAAAATACTCGGCTCATACATTCATTGCCTTTCTAACGCCCAGGTTCCTACTGACGCGTCCATTAGGTGCGTTTTCATTGAAAGTTTTTTGAGTAGGCCATAGCCCTCCGAACAGCAGTGTGCCAAGCCTACCCCCTGTCCCCATTTTACCAACAGGCAATATGGTTTGGTTTGTTCTGATCCCCTTTCCCCCTTAGCGATATTAATTTCTTATTCCTGCCTGACTTGTTCCTATAAGTCCAACACGAAGATTTCAACCATTTTACAATTACTTAATTAAGTTTTTGTCTCCTCCGCAGAATACGTTCAGAGGTTTGCTACTGAAGAAGCTCTTAAGGCGGAGGAGGGCTGTGCGGAGTCGAGCTCGGATGACGAAAGCTCAATGTCGGATTATACTGATGATGCAGCTCAGGATATGGAGCTCTAGCAAGACGTATGCTGACAAAATGTTGACTCTTCCCCTTTTCGCCCGTCCTGCATTCACACGCACAAGCAGACTGACAGATGCAAGCACATAAATGCGCCCAGCCGCGCACGCACGCACACACACCCTTGCCGAAATATGCACGGTTTTGTGCATTTTTTCCTCACCGAAGAACCTAAGTGTCCGCTGCCGTCCAGGGTGTCCCGAAGTTGGCCTTCGATCGAAGTCGAACTCCGTGGGAATAGATTGTTTGGGCTCGCCCAACCGCTGTCCATTCTCATTTGTCTTAAAGCTGTCGTACGTTATTCTCGGGCCCGTTTGCTTGTGTGTTGGCGTTCTTTCCACTTGTGTGTGCGCTCGGATGTTCGTGTGGTGCATTTTGATCTTCATTCAGACCATTTGTAAATTGTCCCGCCCTCAATCTTCTCGTCTCCACGTGAGCCTACCCTTAGGTTGTGTATATTCCTCGTCCGTTGCTCTTAAGCCATCGCTATTTTACGTGAGGATCCGTTTACACGGACAACCATCCGCTAAGTTGGTGACTAGTCAGAATCCCGAGAATGTTTGTACTGTTTCCTCATACTTTCTCTTCTCTCTCTTTCCACTTCCTTTCTTCTAGTCACTTAGGCTTCTGCCATATTCAGTCTTCTCTGTTTCATGCCCCCAGTTAGTCTTTCGCTTCCTCACCATTAACCGCCTCCAGTCTTTCGATCTGTTGATGCTCCAAAGCCCAACGGCCCACGCTTACTGTTTCTTCTTAAGCTTCCTGTTTTTCGACCTTCCTCCCTTCAATTATTTTTTTCATTCGTGCACACGATTCCCCACAAAACCATTTGACCATAACAGAGTCGCCTCGTGGTCTGTGGATCTTCGACTTCACTCCTCGAACTTTGGTGCGTGTACAGGAGCCGATTCACTCGCCACTCGCATCAAATCGCGCCATTATTTTTTCCGTTTTGGTCTTTTGTTATTATAGTATAAATCTGTCGGTATTTACGCGCTGACATGCTACTTTGTGGCCTTTGGCGTCTATCTACCGATACCAAACTAAAATACCAATAATAAATTACTTTTATCACATCCGTTCTCTATCTGCATTTTACCGCCTACTGCCTTCGCTGGCCTCAGAATAATCGGAAGCGTCTCAAGTCTGTCATTTTAGGGCCTGAGCCTAGTAATGTCAATCCCACAGTTTTAGTTTTCTATGCCTTTGTATAATTCGCTCGTCTATATGCATATGAACTTGTGGCTACTTCTGACGAGGTTGTTTGGTTTGTCTCTCGGTCTGTTTTTGTAAAATAAGTCACTCCTGTACTTTACTGTTCTACCTTATCATCGTCGTAAGTGTTCTAGGCGGTCGTCAGGTCTTCGAACGACCGTGAGTAAGTCTTGGGGTTGTCTACTAAATTCTCACATGAACGACCCCGTAGGTTGGGGATTCCTGTCCGACTTCCTGTCGTCCTTGTAGGGCGTGCCAACTGACCTTGCTTCCGAAATCTGTTGTCAAGAGGCCTCGATGCAGGCAGTCACTCCTAATGCCGTAAACTCAACGGGAATCGCTGGTTCAGTTATAGTGGGACTTGTTAAGTGCGAACACACTGGCTGTCTGCAACTGCACCGTCTTCTGCTGCCGATCTAGAACCGTAGCTCGACGCCTTCCAAAAGTAGGAGAGGCGCGCTTAAATCTACAGGAACTGCTCGGAGGTTATTCATTTGGTTTGAGAAACGTGCTAGTTGGCGCCCGACGCACGGGGTCAGGGTGATGTTCTGCTGCCGTTTTCCTGGGAGAGTATCAAGACGTATTCTGTCGAAACGCTCGTGTATCACCCTGAACCCTTTTCGCCCCCTTAGGACGCACAGGCAAGCAGAAATCAGGCCACAGGCGAAAAACACTCCAGCGCCCAACTCAGTCGGCAGGAGTCCGTTCCCGCTGCGGCCTCCATGGAGCCTCACTTATGCTAGCTCTTGTATCGCGTTAGACGACGGCTTGGCCGCACGTAAATCCAACACGACTCGGCAGGGTCTTGATCCTTGCCACAGACAAACGCGCCTTGGAAGTGTCTTCACGCGCTGACAGTCGGCTTGGGAAGCTTTTAGTTGACAAAGTAAGCCGATCGTACTCCAGACCGAGGACCGAACTGCAATATTTCTGGCGCATTTGTTATGCTCTGGACCCATGTCTTAAAAGTGTGGTTCGTGTAGGATTGTCGTTGATGGTCTGCGTAGACGAATAATTCAGCTTCGTCTGCCACTGGAAGCACGTCTCCACCCGTCTTGATTTTCATGCCATTGGAACACGCTGGGTAGAGGAATGAAGTGTGATACGTGCTGCGCAAGCCACTCTCACTGCCAATGAGCACTACTGTCCTCGGGATGGGGACGGGTCCCGTCCTTTACGACAATTGGACGTGTTTCACCCCAAAGCCTGCCGTCCAGCAGGGCTGCGTCCTCTAGCAAGTTCTCATTAAACAGGTAACGGGTTCGATTCCGTCGGCAATGCCCCGTCTATGGCAAGGCGTCTGGTTAGGGTGGGATTCCGGTCATTCTAACGCCTGCCTGCTTTCGAATTTTTTAAAATGGAGTTCGATCGTGACCATGCAGTCTCAGGTTCGCCATTTCACAGCAACAGTGAACATTGGGAGAATCAAAGGACCGTTTGCCGGCTTCGCAAATCAGGAGATATCTTTCCTCATCGCCTGCTCCTTATAATGTGATAAGAGATAATCGTCTCAGACTATTCGGTCACGCATTCCATCGACCCGGAAAGGAGGTCTCTCATGACGCCCTCCCGAACGTCTATCCAATTCGACACCGCGTCGTGATGACCATTTTTAAAGTGATTCAGACATGTTGAAGTTGCTGGAGATAATGACCTTCGGCGTTTTTAAATGGGGCTCCAAGATGGTAACGATGGTTGTGGGTTTTGTAGAGAAGGGCACGACGCTAGCTAGTGTTGCTGTAGAGTCTGAAGTTGGCTGAAATATTGCTGGCCGATGCAAGTACGGTTCACCAATACTACTTCAGACTGAGTTACACTAGGAACAGTGGAACGGACCAGCTGGCGAGCAGACGAGCGCGCAGCCAAATTCTACTCTGGTCCGCTTGACTAGGGGTCTCCTACAACGAGGACGGCTGTCCCGCAACCGAGCGGCTCTGCGCCCTCCACGCCGCTGTTTCTGTCCGTGGTAGTTTTTCACGAAAAACGACGTCACAGTCGTTCCTTTGTTTCGCTATCGGAGAGCTTAGAAACCAGAAGTCTGCCCATGAATGCGCAGGTGTCCACAAATGTCCCTACAGGACCGCTTCTAAGAGGATTGCTTTGGATCGTAGAAAGCTAACGCCCTATTAGTCAGAAGCCTATACATGGACTCAATGCGTAAAGTGCTTCAGATCGACCCTTTAGAGATCTGCCTTCGTGGCTAAGCGGGCAATGTTCGGGAGTGTGGTCAGTGTTGGTTGTCGGCGTGGGGGGTGAGGCAGAGTTGGTCGTGGAAACAACAGCTGGTGTATTCCGGGTTTTGCAGTTGGTACGAAGATGTCCTATAAGGCCGGTTTGTGCCCGGAATGTCCGCTGGCAGCGTGGGCATGTCGGGAGTGGTTGAACGTTGCAATTACGAGGTGGAGGCAGTTCGGATTCTCGAGGCTCGCGCTCGGCTTTTGCGGCGGCGATGCGATTGACTTCAAAGATTGCTACGCCAGTCTTCACTGTTTTTCTCCAGGCCGGTCGGTCTCGAGCGAGGTCTTCTCGGTTGGCCGGTTTAGTCTACAGATTCTTCAGGGAGGTATTCAGAGTGTCCTTGTTTCGAAGGATTTGACCTCCTTGTCGGCGTGAACCCGTGGCGACATCTCCATAGAAGAGTCATTTGGGCAGCCACTCGTCGTCCATCTGCAGAAGCTGGCCGCTCCAACGCAGTTGCAACTGTCTCAGCATGGCCTAGATGTTGAGAATTCCCGTCCGCCCCAGTACATCCGCGTCCGGGATTCGGACCTGCTATCTCCGCTTCAGTATCCGTCGAAGACAGTTGAGGTTCAGACTACGTGCCTGCTTCACGCACGTCCAGGTCTCTGCTGCATACAGCAGCGTAGGCAGGATGACTGCCTTTTACATCTTCAGTTTGGTGTTGAGATGGTGATCGTGACGATTCCAAACTGTGTTTTGAAGACGACCGAAGGCTTGGATGGCTTTGGAAATCCGGTTGGACACTTCAATGTCGATCTTTGTGTTGCGGGAGAGGGCGTTGCCCAGGTAGTGAAGTTGTACACGACTTGCATTTGGCAGCCGTTCACGTTGATTTGGGGTGCGACGCAGGCAGCGTCTGGTGGCGGTTGATGTATAACCCTCGTTTTCTCCGTGTTGCTAACCAGGCCGAAGTTGTCACAGGCGGCGGCGGAGACCCACACCCCGTTGCATGTCTCCTTCCGAGGTGGCGTTGATAGTGCAGCCGTCGGCGAAGAGAAGTTCATAGACGGAAGTTGCTCGTACACGTGACTGGAAGTGCACCCGCCGCTGATTGAGGAGTTGGCCATCCGTCCTATGGGCGACGCGGATCCCGGGGCGTCGGTGACGATAGGCGTCCATCAGCATGGCAGAGAACATAAGACTCCGTTGGTCACTGCGGGTGCCATCGATACAGCCCCGTTGTCCGTGACTCGCGGCATCATGCCATCGTGGAGATGGCGCACTATCTGAGTGAATGGTTCTGGACAGCCGAATTTCTGCATGATTGTCCACAGTCCATCGCGATTCACCGTGTCGAAGGCTTTTGTCAGACCCACGAAAGTAGAGCTAATCCATCCGGCCAGCGCAGCCGAGTTAATGTGTGCCGAGATGCACACGCGGATACCCTCAGCTGGTCCGGCCCACCGGTCGAGGCTGTTACTGGGGTGTGGCCGCCAGGCAGAGCGTAGTTTCGGGGAGCCATATGTAAGAGTTTGGCGCCGGTAAATGGATCCTAGATGTAGTCCACACCTACAAGCAAGTGAACGACCTACCACGACCGTCACTTTACCGCACAACTGGATACCCCTTCACCACTACCAACGCATCACGACGAGTACCTTGCAGCCGATGAACTACATGTGCGAGACGTCAATATGCGTTTCCGGAGATACGATGGCTGAGATAACTGATAAGAATGCTGAACGTTTTTCGATATTCTTCTGGCCATAAAGATATCGCACAAAGGAGAGGAAGTATATTCAAAGCCGCACTTTCACGGGATGCGAAATAATTCACACAGGAAGGTTAATGTACGGGTGACTGTAGGTAAGGGCATCACAATACAAACCATTACCACGTGACCAACAAACTGGGGTTTGACAACTACTGCACTGGTTCTTCCATTTTGTCCGCAGAAGCGCGGTGTTGCTGATCTCTTCAAACCAGAGACTAGCGGCGCTGTGATGGGGCTTGTTGAGGGATGTCCAGCTTGCTCCCTTGTATCCGCTCCTTTATGCTCAGTATTTTGCGCCTACACTTCCGTGCTCAGCGTAGAAACAACTATCCAATGTAACCTACCCTACGCGATCATCGTCTAGGCCTTTGGCAATCCAATCAATCGAGGATGTAGGATTGGGTTGCTACGCAAAAACATCCCAGGTGGCTCACAGGGCGCGCTAACATCACTTGCCGCCGCACCATCATAACTAGTTTTAGTGGTTTGAATTATGATGGCTTGAGAGTCCTTAACTCAGTGTCGTCCACCGAAGTGCTGATGATTCACACGCTACTCGTAAGACAGCCTGGAATCAGTCTTTCCGGGTGCGTCGGCTATCGTCAGTTCGTCAAGTGGGAACAAGGGAGCGTAGCGTTAATGCCAATTGGTGGAAAAGATGTGGGGTGTAAGGCAGGCCTCCGGCGGCCAAATGGGCATTGGCATGAAGTTCTGGTCAGCAGATAGAGTGACGAATTCGGTGAGCTTAGCCGTCGAAACGGAAGGTTCGGTTGCGCACATTGGCCCACTAGATACCAAATCGTTGCTTCTGGGAGGGGAATATTGTTCTAGGGTTAAGTCGGTGCCGACTGATTTTTTATTCCCGAACCGGCCAACAGAAAAGTTACGGAGTCTCAAAACTACAAAAGGGTTTTTAAGCACAGACCTCAAACTCTGCCTGATAGCCTGCATCCTCACCAGCGTGATAGAGTGCTACGCGCTGAGGCAACTCCGCGGCAGGGATAGACTCGTGTGGTGAGTCTTCAAAGCGCGTCATTGTCAGCACCAGGGGCGCCCGCTGATCGCCCGCATCCCCGTTCAGGCGTGCAACCTCGTAACCCTTGTATTTGCATGATGACTGCCAGTACAGGACACACACCGGATACCCTCATGTGGTCTAGTTCGCCGATCAGTGACGACTATCGCGATGGCTCAGTGGTTAGAGGCGTTGGGCTTCTAACCAAATGGCTTCGCGATCGAGCGCCGGGTTTTCCACACTTCGGGTTTGGGTATGACTGGCTGACGACGGCTAATAAGGCAGAAATGGTCATCCCAGTCTCCCTTGTCTTTGTCGGTAATGTTATTCTGACTATCGCAACGTGTCTGCCGTGGGACCACCGTGAGAGTTTAGTGCTAGCTTAAAGTGGTGTATAGTTCACTAGTACTTTTCTGATAACGGCCAGCAAATTACCGTGGAACAACCAACCCCACTCCCCTCCTCGACGATTATAATCGTCATCGGAGTTGTTTATTGCTTGGTTTATTGGCTTTTGGTGGTAGACGTATGTGTACGAGAGTGTCCGACGACTGGATGTCTTTGTCGGTAATGCCATTCTGAATAAATAATTGCTGTCAGTGTATCTAGTCGTGTCGGATATCGGGCATACGTGACGTGCGGCGAGAGATTATCTTAAGATACAGCTTGCGAATGATCGTAAAGGCGAATGTTACCGATGTAAACGGTAATACGTTCCTCTGAGGCTGTTTGATACATGGCTTGACTCGTCCACCACAACTTCGATTTCTAAGACCCAGGCAGACAGCTGTATTCAATGAGCTTTAGTGCATTTCACCAACGTCCATTCCAAAGAGGTTAAGAAGACCTGTGGTTTCTTGGCTGTTGACCTGTGGAGTCAGTCATGCTAAAAACATGCGATGAATGACGTACTGACTGGGCCCCAGGTCCCCGCCACCGGGTTCGTCTGAACGGGGGAATAAGTACCTCAGTAGTATAGGCGGCCTTGCGTGAAATCCCAGAGAGGTACCCACTCCCCTATCCCATTTTTGGCTCTGACCAAAAACCTAACCTCACTGTAATTTAGAGTAGGGTCATCTGTAATACAGGGGAGTACTTGCTGCCGCGACATACCTCTGGTTTATTCAAGTTTGTATAATATCGTTCAGGTTAGCAACGCTGAGATTTCCTGACTGATAATGTGGGAAATAGAAACTCAACAGAACAGAGTTATTGGTTTGCTGACGTTTCTGAGAGCTTGGTTGGCTCACCTGTCGAAGCTAGCCTTGAGCTCGGCTATCCATCTACAATTCTGGTCGATGTTCTGTATTAAATGATTTGATAATGCTGAGTCGAACAAGCTCTCCGAAACGTCAGCTAAATTATAACCCTACTTCTCAACAAATGTCCTTCAGACTCTGGTGTGTCTTCGGAGATGGTTGGTTGTGCAGTCTCTTTCATGGTGATCATATGTGGAAGTTCTAGCCTTTCGAAGCAGGATGATTCATAGGACTGTAGGAATATCAGGTCTTGTGGGGACATTTTTTAGCAAATCTTTGCCATATTTAGGACAGACTGAGGTGCAAACCATGGAACGAGTATCGTATGACAAAGTTAAACTGCGCTAACTAATCATTTTTTTTTCATATCGTGCCGTCGCCTTGCTAGTCAAATTAGAAAAGACCCACACAGACAACGAAATGTGGACCCGTAAAAGCTGAGACACTTTCTCCATCACTGTATGTATCAGAGGACACCCCGTTAGACACATCGTAATCACTATTCAAGGGTAATTTCAGACAAAATTGATATACCTAATCGTTAAAAAAGTGGCATGCATTTTGGTACCTCGGACTCGCTGAAATTAACCACCCCTCAAATTTCGCCTGTCTCCTTGAACGTTTCTAGTGGGCAGGGTAATCGGATTTAGAAAGTCCCAAAACTGTCTATGAATGCCAGCAGTGTATTTATATAAACGAGATCCGAAAAAGACCGTCCCCCGTACGGCCTTAACAAAATGCAGAACAGGACCTCTAAGTGTTGCAGATCCGATAAACCACCTTGCAAACCCGCTCTCACAGCGTGCCCATTGTGTACTTTTGGAATGACTCATAAGACGTGTCTGTGAGGTGTCCCTATCGATCGTGTGTGAAAGAACAGGCGTGATGGCTACGTTCTTCCGAATATGAGCGGCGTCCTCTTGTTCGGTCAAAGCATCGACGTTTTCTTTTGCATTCGGCCCTGTCAACCATCGAACGTGGGTAAGATGTTGCAGCGCTTTCAGGCTATTGGTGTGCGGCGTGTCAGAAACTGTACACATTGGATTAGAAAAGTTAAAGCTAGGATACGGAAATAGATACTCTAACCCTTGACATTTAGCGGGGGTATTTATTCCCGTGTTCAACCCTACCTACATATGTACAAAGCGTCTCTTATGCATTAAAACAAGCATGCAACGCAAATGTAATTCTTTTCTTTTTATATATTTGAGGATGCAGCGTTTCATCTCCCAAAAGGACCCTTCTACCACCACTCACGTCCTACAGGTGGTCTTGCGCCGTAGCTCAGAGGAGGGAGTACACACCTCTATGTCCGACCACGCCACACTTTTGTGGGAAACTTACTGGAAGGCGAGCGTGGAGTGAGTCATGAGATGACGCATGTGACATGATGTCGTGTAGAGTCCACTTACTTGAACTGACTAATAAACATCCGACAGTTCGACCGTCGGTTTCGACGATGTCCCCGTGCGCTCCACAGCTGGGTGAGAGCAGGGATGGTGAATCACGCATGACTCAGTTTATAACGATAGCAGACTTGCGCAGCGTCTACCGTACTCTCTTCCGCCCCCCCCCCCCCCTGGACCTGGTGTCATAAGCAAATCAAGAATACTAGAGGCGGATGGGAGCCCAGGTGGCTGGCACGGCCGAACTCGCATCTAAGCCTGCCACCTCATCCCCTGGTCCACAACAAACACTTGACCAGGATTTTAAACAACAACAAATATTGGGTGGCCGGGTCGGATATCAACTGGTGCTGCGTGAGCCTACAAATGGGCCCACCATCACATCCAGAATGTCGACATTTGTTACAGCTGCGCATTTCCGACAACGCCTGCCGGACTCCGATCCAGTCTCCTTCTATTGGTTCAGCGCATCTACCGCGTGGCGCGTTTTAGGGGTAACATAAAAACTTACCTTGCGACACCGAGACAGAAGGCCTTATGCATGGACGACAATCGTCGAGTCGTACGTGATGCAGCTCACAGGTTCCGTCCGCCAAAGTGACACTGGCTCTGCCATATGGATGAATGGATTGACTAATCCGAGCATCCGAAAAGCAATTTGGCGAGCACACGTCTGCTTTCGATAAATTATCTTCAGGCCTGTACATTTATATGGCTATTGAAGTAATGAA